CTCATCTTCCCTCTGCATGCCAAGAAGGTTGGAAACATCCCTCTTTCCTAGAGAGGGCAGAGGATGGAGCCTGGAGTTACCCTGCCTACACCAAGCGGTAAAAGTTTTGTGTGGGTGGATGCTGGGGAGCTGCCGTGGCCGGCCCCGCTGGCTTGGGCTTGGGGACCAGGAAGGCACCTTGGGGGGCTCGTGTTGTGCAGTGCTGTGGTTACAAAGAAAAATGTAATTTTTGAGGACTGGAGGTGCAGCACTGTGCTCAAGAGTGTCTTTCTGATCACTGCCTGATGGCTGGTTCCCTTCTTGGGACTCATTGTTGTCAGGACGAGAACCCCAGCCCTCCAGGGTCACAAAAAAGCTGCCAGGCCCATGGGTGAGAGGCCTCAACCATCTCATGGTGGTACCACTGGCAGCAGGCTCAGCACTTTGGAAGCAGAGCAGGACAGAGCCCACGGCATCTCCACTGTGCGCTCGCGTTGGGTAACACCTGGCCAGGCAGTGACGCCACGGACAGGGGTGGGGGCAAGCAGTTTCGGTCGGGGCAAGAGCAGAGGCACCCAAACCAGTGATTACCTTCACCCTGAGCTGCTAAGTGGAGGAAGTCTGTGATTAGTTGACACCTCCAGCCAGGCTTTGGAAATTAAGTCGCGCTGGAGCAGGGGGTGGATGACAACTCCTTTATTCATTGCTGATATATAAAACTGAAAACACAGTCCAGGTATGGTATCAGGATATTCCAGTGGTGGTGGCCTAAAGGGCTGGTGGTGGATATGCAGCAGGTCCCCTGGGGGCATTTGGGGTGCTCATGGGTGAGGATGGGTTTTGGTGCTGTGACTCTGAGCCCTGGGCAGGGCTCTGTGGGCTCAGGGAGGCCTTTGTGCTGGGTTTGGTTTTCATGCACAGCTGGCTTCAAACAAACCTCCTGCACCAGCCTCTGCTGCCCTGGGAAGGCAGAGACTTACACCTTGGGGCTTGTCCCTGAGCTTTGGGATTCTTGTGTTTGCAGTTGGCTACTGAAACAGGGAGAAGGGAGGTGGTTGCGTTCCCCTCCATGATGTAGCTGATACCAGGCATGTGCTCGACCCCACGCAAGGAAGCGCCTCCCACTCTACAGGGGCAGCCCCGTGGGTCCGTCCCCACTCTGCAGTTGGGGGATGCTGGTGGGTCCATCCCTGCAGCACACTGGCCTGGCCAGGACATGGGGGACCATCGTCCCAACCCCAGAGCCAGGAGGGCCCAGGTCCTGCCACACCATGTGGCCCCTAAAGCCTGCAGCACCGAGGAGCTCAGCTGACATCACGGTACCTGGCTGCTGTCGGGTCTTTTCATCCCAGGGTGAATATCACTGAGGTTTAGCAGAGTAATTCCTGACATGTGACCCCCTCAGCACACATCTGGGAGTCAAACAGGGATGAGAAAAATAAGGCAGCAATACAAAGGGTGGTGTGAATGACACTGGGGGTGTGGGCCCTTTGTGGGGCTCTACTGTTCAGCCGCCTCCCTCCCCAGGTGTCCGGGCAGCACAAGGTGACATTGGACCAACATAGAGCCTGAATAAGACCATCGACCTCTGTCCACAGTGCCTTCCTGGCAGCCCGTGCATGACCCCAGACAGGGCAGTGGGGCTTTGTCTGCCCCGTCTCACCGCCATCCGGTCTGTGCCACGCCGGCTGGCACAAACAGATCGGCCAGATTAGCCAGCGCTGGGATCCAATTTCTTCCTGGAGCTGCCAAGCACGAGCGGGAAGTTTTCCATTGCCCGAAGTGGCTGTTTGTGTCCTGCAAACAGCAAGACATCCTGGAGGGGTATTTATTTAAGGTTAAAAGCATGGCCTTGCCACGTCCTGACAGGGCTAGGAGCACGTGGGCTACTGCAGGGCTCCAGACGGATCCGGTATCTCACCACCCCTGTCAGCCCCGTCCCAGCCTGGCACCATCGGAGCTGGAGAGAGGCTGTGGTTTCACCCAAGGTCTTGGTCCCTGGGAGGAGACTTTTCACCCCGTGGGCTGGGGCTCGCTGGCTGTGCCACCCCCCCGAGAGCTCCTTGCCCCAGCACACAGATCAGGCTGGGTCTTGCCTTTTGGGAGTCCACCAGCCCAGGGCTGAGCATCCCGTGGTTTTGGCAAAGTGACAGCAAGAGCCGCCGCTGCATGGAGCTGCAACTCCCTCTGGTGCCTGCCCTGAGGCTCCCGAGCTTGTCCTTCACTTTTTTCTCATCCCGGAGCCCCAGCGATGGAGGGTTTGGGGTGCCCCAGCTGGCCGTGGGGCAGCCCCAGTGTGGGTGGGTGAGTGGGAACCGGGGCCGAGCTGCTGGCTTGGCAGCAGCCGTGGGAACTGCTCGGAGGGGAGGATGTGCCAAGCACCCTTGTGCCAGGGCCTGGATTTGGGGGAACAGAGCTCTTTTCGGGGGTGATGGAGACAGGGTTTTGCCTGCAGATGGAGCTCCTGACTCAGCCGTCAGGCTCAGGGAGAGGCTTGGGGTGAGGTGTTAAACCCCACGAATTTCTCCTTCTTGAGGACACAGTGACTCTGCCAGACCCCAAAAGGAAAAGAGGACCGTGCTTAAGCTCTCCCTGCTGGGGAGAGCACGGTAGTAACTAATTCCTCATTAAGTTACTTACTCAAATGTGCTTGGCCTAAAAGACAAGGAGGGGGAACCCCACTCAAACCAGGGTATTAAAAAAGCAAATCCCCCAGCCCCGGTGATGGCAGAAGTGGGGGGAAGGTGGATTTGGGGTGTCCAGCTGTGGCAGCCAGGGGAGAGGTGGAGGAGGGTGCACAGGGTGGTTGGCTGTGGGGCTAGAGGGTCTGCCAAGGGGGCTCTGTCCCTGTGACTTTTGCAAATAACTCCTGGATTTGGGACTGGAAAAGTGTCCATTGGGGGCTGCAGTGGGTTCTGTCCCACAAGCTGGGGGGACCCCAGGGGGATCGGCTGGGAGCACTTGCAGCCACTGAGTCCTATCAGCCTGGCATGTGTGCCCTTGTGCCATGCTAAAATGGCGCATTCTCTCCTCATTTGGGAGCAGTGACATGGGAGGACAAATCCTTGGGGCTCCCTCGGGGCTGGCAGCTCCTTCGGAGGCAGTGGGGTCTGCTTGTGGGACCCCCGTACTGCCTGGGGCAAGGGACGGCTGCAGGGTCGGCAGCTGGCGGCAAGAACTTACTGCTCCAGGGATTACGCTGATCCCCTCCTGCTGCCCTGCTGCATGTCGAAGGATTTCTGAGTCTTTAATGTGTTTTTCCTGCTAAATTGGAGGTGTTTGCGTTCATGGTGCAAGGGCCAAGTCAGTATTTGTTTTCATCCCTGAAGTCTTAGTGGGGTCAGTGCGATGGCATGGCATGGCCTGCACATGGTGGAAAGTCAAATATAAACTGGGGTTTAAAAGTTTCTTTTGAAAATGGAGCTCTGCAAAGCAGCAAGGAAGCAGATTTAGGGCTATAACCCCAAATCTGCCGGCCTTCCTTATGGCTTTGCAGACTCTCTGTATGGCTGCTGATCTCTTGAGAGCATTGTGACTCTCAGCTTTGCTGCAGCTCCCAGGAAGAGGCTCTTATGGGTTGGACATTTTTCCCCAGAAGGCAAAACAGCCTCTCCCACATGATTTTCAACCTCTTATTTCTTCTCTTCTCCCTGGAGGTCTCTGGTCCCAGTGGCAGCACGGGACAGAGCGATGCCACGTGCCTGTCTCTGCCCATGCATGCTGGCATGCTCGCTGCCAGCTGCAGTGGGACCCTGATGGCTCATGCTGGTCTTGGAAGTGTGGCTGATACTCACCTCCTCCTCGGTTGCCACCACATAACCAGTTCTGCCCTGTTCTGCACTTGTGCAATGGCAGCTCCACCACTGCTCACCTTTGGCCCCACCGAAGAGCAGCCCAGCACCCTCAGAGCAGGGCTTTGTCACCGTGCCACCACCATCCTTTGCAGTGACATCCTAGGTGTGATGATGGTAATGAAGTCATCCTTCAGGAGTGGACCCAGCAGCCCCACCTGATGCACCCGTTGGGTCTGACATCCACCTCCCCCTGGCCCAGCAGCACCCATAGGTGCTCTCCCAGCCACAGGCTTCCCTTGCTAATGAGCAGGTAATGAAAGCCACAGTGTGTATCAGAATTAATCACTGACCCAGCTGGCTGCAGCCAGCCCTGCAGCTTGCTGGGCTTCAGATGCTGCTGTAATTCACTAGTGCTCTTGGCTTTGGGAATTTTTCATAACACAAGCTCTTACAGTCAAAATGAAACCTCAGCAGGTCTCTAATGCACTCTTGGCTCTGCCCCTTTTGCAGCAAGTGTGATTTTTTTTTTAATTGTTATTAATTTTTGTGCAGAGTATGACAGTCCTCTGGGCCTTGGAGAAACTTGGGTGCAAGATTTGCTTCCCTGTGAGTCGCTGCAGTGATGTGCTGTTACTGGAGGTGCTGCACCTGTCCCAGTTTGGGGCTGGGGTACCCCAGCAATGGGTACAGCAAACCAGCCTTGTCTATGAACTTGTTAGATGTCAGCGTTCATCAAGGTTTTGGTGAATCAGTAGACCTGATCTTGGTTTTGAGTAGAAGAAATAACAAAGTAAGAAGGAATCCAGTACCCGGTGAGAAGCGATGTGTTTTTGGCCTTCCTCTGTAAAGAAACTGGGATCAGGAGGTCCCAGACTGTGCACAGGCATCCCCAAAGCTTTTGGGGTGCCTGTGCTGTGAGTGATTAGTCAGGAGGCAGCAATGGAAAAGGGAAGAGATTCTTACCAAATTCCTGAAAACAGCCTGGAAGAGAAGAGGGACCCTGTGGGGGTTAGGGCTGGGTGCTGTGGCTGCTGGGCACAGCTCTGGGGTGACCCGATGGGTGCCCCTGAGCTCAGCATCCCCCCCAGCACGGAGGAGGGTGCCGAGCGGCTCGGCAGCAGCAGTTCGGGCAGGCAGCTGCGCAGCCGTGCGCTGCCCCCTCCTTCCCGCAGCCTGCTCCTTGCCGTGGAAAAAGGCCGGTTTTCTCCCCAAAACGGCTCTCAGGCGGGACAGGCAATGTTTGCTCCTGCTCCCCGGCAGAAGCGAAACCCTATCCCCGTCCTCGGTGCTCCGCTTGGGTTTCTTGGGGCTATTTCTGGCTCTCCGTTCCTTCGTCTCCAGCATTTCCACTGCCTCTCTCCATCATTTTTTCCACTCCTTCCCTCCTCCGCCGCCCTTGCCTCCCGGTGCCCTCGGCCCAGTGTCCTCCCCATGGCCCTGCCGCAACGGCTGCTCCCCGAAATGGGCCGCCAGGGCGGATTATTACCATTGCTAATCTGCATTTGCCCTCCTCCCTGCCCTCCCCTGCTCCTCCCTTCTCCAAATCGCTGCTGTACAGCACCGGTGTGCGGTGCTGCACGGGCTGGCCGGGGCGGACAACGCCGGGAGAGCCACCGTGCCCGGGCTGGCGTGAGTAGGGGGCTGCGGTGGCCGGGTGGTGGCTGGGGTGTCCCTGGTGTGGGAGGCTGGGTGGCTCTCTGTCTCTCTCCCCCGTCTGCGTCCTCCTCGGGTTGTTTATTATTTTTCCATCACTGCCCTTCCCGTGTCCTTTAGAAGGAGCCGGGAAGCCCGTCTGCAGTGGGTCGGGGTGCTGTGGGTGCTCCTCTGTGGGTGCTGCCCTGAGTGGCCTCTGCTCAGCAGGGAGATGCCGCTGGAGGATGGGGACCCGGTGAGGCAGAGGGGACAGCGGGTCAACGATGAAGTCGGCAGAGCCGGGGACCCCCTGCTCCAGGGCACACCAGCACCTGACAGCAGCAGGATGGAGGCGATGGCAGAGGACAGGGAGCCGGGGCCAGCGCTGGGTGACGGGGATGTGATGCCCGGGGGGACCCCACAGCGAGCAGGGCGGCACGAGGAAGCCCTGATGGCCGAGCTCTCGGAGCTGGTGCAGAAGGTGGTGAAGAGCAGCAGCTGGTGGGAGCGGCACGGCGTGGACATCAGCATCCTTGCCTGCAGCTTCCTCCTGCTCCCAGCAGGTAACACGTCTCAGCCCTAACCCAAACTGCATCCAGAGGGGTCCCAGGGGGTACCGCTGCCTCCTCGCAGCTTTTGCACTGCTGGTACAACTTTGTGCTGGAAGCCTATTAGCAGCCTTTTAAGTCTGTGACCACTCGGTGCCATGGGGCACCCTGACCCCACTGGAAACCCACAGCGGGTGATGGCAGCACCTGGGGTACAGCCTGGGGTGAGGGGACAGTTCCCGGGCAGATGGGCTCACGGCAGGACAGGGAGCAGCATGTCCCATCCATGTCCCGACATGGGGCAGGGAAACTGTGGTGGTTTTGGTGACAGTGGCCCTGGCCGTGGCTGGTGAGTGAGACATGGTTTAGCATGGAGCTTCAGCAGCATAGTTGGAAAGCTGCAGCTGGTGCATTCTCTTGCTTTTGAACTCCTGGGGATGCTGAAATCCTGTCAGGGTCGTATTTGTCACCAGTGGGATCCCAGCCAGAGCTGTGGGATGGGACCAGCAGCACCTGGTGACATCGCAGCTGGAAGTGGCCAAACCTTCAGCATGGTGGCGAGCGTGGCTGGTCCAGCCATGCAGGGCAGTGTGGAGGGAAGCTTTCTGGCTCAGGCAGTTTAAATACCTGTAACTATGTCTGAAAAACAGGTTTAGGGCAGTGGCTGGCATGTTTGGGTGTAGCAACACCTCCAGCCCAGCCGTGAGCAGAGAGAAGTGAGGAGGAGCACGAGCTCCTGCCCGGCTGGTTTCTCCGTAGGGTTCCTGTGCCTGCGGTCAGCCCAGGCCACCCCTTTCCTGGCGGGTGTCCTCACCCTCGGCGTGGTGCATCACACCTTGACTGTGAAGGGCAGCCACTTGGCCAGCCACAACGCCTTGACCGAGTCCAAATCCTGGGGCAAAGTGTGGGCCATCTTCTTCATTGAGGTGAGCAGGGATGGGGGGTTCAGGTATCAGCCCCCCCCGCCTCATCAGCACCTTGCCAGCACCCTCAAGCCCATCAGGAACAGCCACTGGAGAACAAGATGAATCCAATTCCTGATCCATGTGCAGCAGGGTTAAATTGAAAACGATGCTACACCAGGGAGCATCAGGATCATCCCTGCTTGTGGGGCTTTGCCTGGAGGCAGCAGGGTGGGGGCTGAGCCCCCAGCTGGGGGTGGCTCCTGTGGTGTTCTGGGCTGTAGGGTTTTGTGTCGGTCTCCTTGGCTGTGGGGCTGCAGAGCAGGATAATGGGTTGTGGGGAATGGTGGGAATGGTTTCCAGTGCTTAACTTTTAAGAAGTACATTTCCAGACTGGCTTGGAGTCTGTGGGATGCCGAGCATCTCCCCTGGGTGCAGAGCATCTCCGCTGAGTGTGGAGCATCTCCCCTGAGCACCTGTCCTCTGAGTCCAAGCCAGGTGGTGCCTGACCCTGGTGCTGTGGTTGTTGGCATCTCCTCCTTTCTCTTCCCTCCCAGCTCTGCTCAGCTTTCACGGTTGAGCAAGCCACATACAACCATGTGAAAATCCACCATGGCTACACCAATGTCATCGGCCTGGGGGACTCCAGCACCTGGAAGCTTCCTTTCCTGAACCGCTACGTCTACATGTTCATCGCGCCTCTTGCAGTGCCCATCATGACCCCTCTGGTTGCACTTGGTATGTGTCTCAAACACCTTGGGGTGGGGTGCTGGGTATGATGAGCTTGTTACCATCCAGGTCTCACCCCACCAAAGGGTCCTGCTTCGTTTGGAGGCATCACATTAACTACACCAGCCCACGGTGGGACACAGGGCTGCAGTGAAGGCAGGTGATGTTGCATCTGCTTCAGGGAAGGCATCTGCTACATCCCTCTGGGACTCAGAAGCGCTTCACATTTTCTTGTGTTGGAAAAGTCATCATGAGCCTGAAGTGCCCTAGGTTTGCTCGCCTTTGATTCAGACCCTTGGCCATAGCAGGGTTCAGCATCGCATGTAGGTCTCTGGCTGGTCAGAGCATCACAGTGACTTTGCTGACTGCATGGCAGGTGAAGGTGTGGGGGTCTGCAGGGGACAGGATGCAACAAGCTTGGGCAGATGAGGCAATGGCTTAGGGAAAATAATGGTGCCAGGAAACGATCGGGGAGAAGAGCCTAGAAAATAGTAAGAGGCTGAGGAGGCCCAGCCCATTGGGCTGAACACACAGCTCGGGGCAATGTCAAAAACGCAGACAATGACCTGGCAAGTTGTAAGAAATGAAGATGCAGCCAAATCTCCATGTGATGACACACAGTTGGAGCCTCTGCCCCACTGCCCTGGGGGGACTACAGACCCCAGCCCCAAAATCCAGCAGGTCAGCAGGGCTGGGGTTTTGGGCCAACCTGGAGGGTGGGGAAAGGGAGATGAAGAATGGGATGGGCTGTAGATTTATTGGTATGCCAGGCAGTCCCTGGAGCAGCAGTGGTGGGGAATCATCAGCACCTTGCCCATGTGCTGCCTCTTCTTCCTTGCACAGATTTGTTGAGGAACGTGGAGTGGAAAGCAGCTCTCCGGACCCTCTGCTGCATGTTTCTGGGTCTCTACTGCCATTACTGGGTGCTGCTCCACGTCTCGGGCTTCCAGTCACCGTGGTCCGCCCTGCTCTGCATGCTGCTCACCCGGTCCCTCCTGGCCCACCCCTACATCCATGTCAACATATTCCAGGTAGACACCTGAAGCTCCAAGATGTCCCGATGGCACTGGAGATGGGCCAGCCACCACCCAGCACCAGTGACATAGCCCTGATGCTGCTGGCTGGGGCTTGTGTCAGCTTAAGGCGAGCAGCCTCTCATCACGTCCCTCGTGCTGATGTTGTCATGGGGAGGATCAGGCTGGTGGTCCTGGAGTGGAAAGTGGTGGCCCTGGGAGAACATCAGGGCAGATGGGTGTGAAGGGCTGGAGGGTCATGTCCTCTGTGGCGGCTTGCAGGACTGGGGTTTGGTGTGTTTGTGTGTGTAGGTGGAGCTGGTATCACAGGTCCTGGGACAGTGAGAGGCTGGTGGCTCAAAGTGGGGATGCGTTGTGGGGACAGAGCCTGAGTGCTCCTTGGTGGCTTTGTGGACAGACAAGCACAGGATGGGGTGGCTTTAGGGACAAACCCAGCTTGGGGGTTGCAGGCAAATCCAAAAACGTGGCTCAGCCTGGCTGGCACTTTTCGTGCCCTCACATGACTGGAGCCGTGGTTGGCTCCTCTGGGAAAGGTCTGGGGGTTGGCAGGTGCTGCGGGGTGCCCACCCTGCCTCTCCCGCAGCACATCGGCCTCCCCATGTTTGCGGCTGATCGGAAGCCCAAGCGGATCCATCTCATGAGCCTGGGTGTCCTCAACCTGCCCCGCAACGCCCTGCTCGACTGGTCCTTCGGCCACTCGCTCATCAGCTGCCACGTGGAGCATCACCTCTTCCCCAGCCTCTCTGACAACATGTGCCTCAAGGTGAGACAGCCCTGCGGGGCAGATCAGCATGTTGGGAGGTGACATGGGGACGAGACCATCCATCTTCCTGCCACCAGAACCCTCTGCACTGCTCCCCCCATGCTAGAAGCTTCTCACTGCTTTGCAACAGCCCCTAACCCACCTCCCTCCATCCCCACTCTTGTTTCTCCTGGGTTTCCACTCCCTGCTCCATCCCCTGGTCACCATTCCAGCCAGCAGCAACCTTCCAGGATCCTCCCAACTCTTGCCTTGGGAAAGCATCTCCAGCACTGCGTAACCTGGCTTTTGGTTCAGCCAGCGTTCAGGAACCCCCCCCCCCATAATTGTCATCATGTCCTTACTTGTTGCTCTGAGGTGTGGGGTGTGTTCAAAACGTGGGCTCTGAGTGCTGCCCCTGCTTGAGGGCATCCCAGGGCAGGTCCATGCACTGCCCTTCAGCATGGGATCTCCACTCATTAAATGCCATGTACTTATTTTCAGTCTTAAGTCAGGGGAAAAATTAAGTAATAGTAATAGAGGGAGCAGGAGCACCAGGGGGTTTTGGGTCATGCCCTTTGCTTGAGCTCGGGGGGCCGGTAGGACCTGCCTCCCACAAAGGTGTGTTTCAGGGAAGGGGTAATTAAGCTGGTAGCAGCCTCCCAGCCCTGCTGCTGAGCTGGCTGTGTGGGCATGTGGGAATAACGATGGGTGCAAGTGATGAGCATGCGTGGCTGGCACTCCTTAAAAGCCTCCTTAGAGCATCTCTCCTAATCCAGAGCCATGCAAAAGTGTTTTACGAGGGTGGAATCCCCGTGTTGCTGCAATCAGAAACCACCTTCCTCTTAATTTACATGGTAAAGATGTTCTTGCTGGTGCTGCGGTCTCCAGCCCCATTTTGCGCATGTGGGACGGGTTTTCTTGGCACCTTACGGGGAGCTCGGCGATGCCTCAGGCTGGGAACTTTGTACAAACACTGGGGCATCCCCCATGGAGGTGATTTTGCCTTTGTCTTTGCAGATCAAACCCATCGTCTCCCAGTATCTGAAGCAGAAGAAACTGCCATACAACGAAGACACCTACATCTCCCGGCTCCAGCTCTTCCTGCAGAGATACGAGGAGCTGATGGTCCACGCTCCCCCCATAACGGAGCTGGTGGGCATCCAGTGAGGATGGGGCCCCAGGGCTCGGGGGACTGTTTCCTGTGGGGCACTTGTGGCAGGGATGGTTTTATCAGGATCAGGGCTACACAGACAAACTCTCCATAAAGCCATCACGTAGGAAACATCTCTCCCTGATGTCTTGCTTTTGGCTAGATAATGATACACAGAGCCACTGCAGGAGGAGAGCTGGGCGGTGCAACGCCAGGGACAGGAAAAGAGGGGGTGTCCCCCAGTTATTCCCAGCCAGGGCTTAGTTTTATCCACTCTGCTTTCACGCTTAGGGAGAGAAAACCCCCATCTGCTGGCTGGGGCCTCCCTGCAGCAGGACCTGGGGGGCTGCAGCTGGGGATGCGGCACCGTGACTGGAGCTTCTGGAGCTGGTTTCTGGCTGAGAGCTGCCAAGATCCATAGGAAGGGGCTGAAAATGTGTGGTCGGGGGCTCAGCGAAAGGGTGGATTGTGGGGAGGGGGTTGTGTCACCGCTGCCTGCACTTTGCTTGACTTTTGGGGTAAATCAGTCCCTTGTAGGAATAATGATTTGGCAAATTCAGCCTTAACATGTTGAAGTGCATCTTCTTTATTACTGGGTTTTGTTGCCAGAGCAAATCCTACTGGTATCCTGCAGTGCCCAAGGCAGGGCTGGGGGAAAGACCCTCTCCCCTTGTGGGGTATCGGTATTGGGGTGCCAGAGGTGACCCCAGATATTGTAATTGCTATTGCGAGTTTAGTGGGAGAATCACCTGCTGGAGGCTCTGGCCGCTCTCCAGAGCTTGGGAGACTTTTCCTGCTTAGGGAGGGTGAACTCGGCCCACTGAGCCGCTGCCAGTGGGTGGAATGCTCATGTGGCCAGTTCCAGCCCCCTCTGGGATGACGTCCCTGGCTTTCCCAGGGCATTCTGCTGTCCCAAACCTTCCAGACCTATGACAAAGTCCAAGCATGGTGTCACAGTGGGGAGCTGGCAGCAGAAAAGACAACTGGCCCAAGTGGGACCAACACAGAAGTCAGTGCTGGCCCTGAGCTTTGGGAGGCTTTGCTCTGAGCCTGGGGTTTTGCTCCCTGATTCATGCTGTCCCCCCAACCAGGGCTGGACCCCCTCAGCCTCACAACTGGGATTTACAGAGCTCCACATTGCAAATGTGTCCCGAGGCACAGGGATGCTCTGCTCTGGTCCTGGCCCGTGGCAGAGTGACGGCTGCAGGAGGCAGCCCATGGTGTTTGTCCTCCCGTGTTCTCCTTCACCAATTGCAGGGACATCCACTGTGGAAGGGTCCCCCTGTGGCCACTGTGACATGGGCTGGAGCCGGAATGGCCACGGCATGTCCTCATGTAGCAGATCCAGACTTGGAGGTGGGGAAAGTTGGGCCTGGATCCATCCAGTGTGACCCCTTTGGCACCAGAAACAGGGAATTACTGATTTATCCTGGGCTGGGGGCCAGGGGATGCTGATGCCCTGGGCTGGTGGCATTGCTGAGTCACCTCTAACTGACCCCATGCAGGTTTATCAATCCAGAACATTGTGAAACATCCAAAGGGCAAATTCTCGCCCTTTCATCATGGGTTATGTCGGGTCTATAGGTGGGGAGGAAGCTGTGGGAGGTGGCTGGACCAAATGGCCTGAGTGCTCCTGGGGGTCACCCAGGGCTGGAGGGTGGCAGAGACCCTCCCCAGAGGTGCACTCCTTCCCTCATGATTAATTTCTTAATTGAGTATCAGAGTTAAATTATGCTAAATGTGCCAAATTAGTGGCGCTCCTGGCTCCAGCAAGGAGGGGACTGAGCACGTATTAGCGGTGCTTTTGGTTCAGCTGGGGTAATCTGAGCCTCACGTGTCCCCGTTTGTGGGCACAAAATGCTCTTTCTCCTCCCCTCTTGCAAAGAGATCAATCCCAAAATGTTTCTAAGCACTGGTGGGAGCAACAGCCCTGTCCTCAGCCGAATTTCATGGATATTGTTTAACGCAGTGCCATCTAAAGGCAAGTGTTCACAGGTCCTTCAGCCAGCGGGACATTACTTGTGATTTGGGAAATATATGGTTTATTCCCTGTCAGAAGTGGCAGATGTAGTAGAGGTTAATGGGGAAAAGGGAGATTTCTGACTTGTGCTCAGAACCCCCCAAATTTCTGCCTCAAGTGATGGCCCAGATTTAAACTCAATGCTTTTTTTTTGTGGATGATATTAATGCTGATATTTGGAACTGTGCCTCCAGCCTCGCCTCTCTGAGCAATGAGTTGGTAATGGCTGTGTTGAGCTAAGGCTGGAGGCTCTGAGCACAGGCACTGAAGCTGTCGGAAATCCTGGTCCTTGTTGCAAACACCCTGAAGGAGTGGATGCAGACGGAAGCATATGGCCAGCTGCCATGCTCAGCATGCCTTTGCAGAAAGCCATGAACTCATTTTCAAGACCGTGCGAGAAAGCATGTGGGTTTTATGACCCTTATTAAAATCAGCTTCTAGCTGTAAACTCCTCTCGGTCTTAATTGCTTTTAAAAAGCCCCGTTAGTGCTTGTCTGCATGCTTTGGCATCTGTACAACCCTTAAGCATCTCCTGGGCCCACTGAGAATGATTTTCCTGCCTGGTACATTGCTCAGGGGCTGAAGCAAGATGGGGTGCTCCTGCACAGGAGGTGTGGGTAGTTTGAAGTAAGCCGAGTGATGTGGATTAAGGAGGAAATAAAGCAGGGACCGTGGGGGAGGCTGGGGGGAGCTCTGGCAGCAGCATTTATCCGCTGCCTCCGGCACTAGTGCTTTATCCTTTACGGAGGGGATTCTGTGCATCCCTCCTGGCCAGGGGTGGACGGCTGCTTAAACTCAGTCTGAGCTTCGGTTTCCCGCGGAAGACCTCCGCAGTTAATCACTTTTGGCAATAAAGCGGCACAACGCACTTAGCAGCCACCGGGATGGTGCTGATGGGGGAGCCCCAGGCAGGCGGGGTACCGCGGAGGCCTCGCCATCGAGAGCGGCGGCAAGACCGGCCGCGAGTCGGCCTCTCCGTCCCTCCTTCAAGAGACAGGCTGTGGGAACCGTGCCCGGCAGGCCCGTGCTCCAGCCTTGGGGAAGTGAGGGACGCGGGGCCGGGGGACACCGTGCTCCGGGGCGGGAGTACTGGGGCTTCGGTACCCTTAGGGCCGGGACCGGGACGCCCCTTCCCCTGCCGGTGCACGAGGCCGGGGGTGTCTCGGGTATGGTGCTTTCTGGTGCCCTTCTCCGGGGCAGCAGACAGCCCCTCTGGCACCACCGGCCCCGTCCCGGCCCAGCCGTAAGCGCCAAGGCCGCGGGCTTGGCCGAGCGCGGGGGCCGCTGGCCTTGACCTCGAGGTGTTTCCGCCTCAAACCTCTCCGGGGCCGCGTCCCTGGGCTCGTACATAAATCTCGACCGAGCGCTGCCGCCCGGCTGCACGCCATGGCCGGCGCGCGGGGACGCGCCCCTCTGGGTCGGTGCTGGGCTCGAGGGAAGGGCTATGGCCAGCCCTGGGAGTCGGCACCTCCTGCGGCCTCATGTCCTCTCTGTCCTTCACACCTCCAGGTCTCAAGCGGTGGCTGTCCTCGTCTGCCCCGGCTCCTCGCGTCTGCGTGGTGGGCAGTGGGCCCGCGGGGTTTTACACGGCTCAGCACATCCTCAAGGTACCGGGGTGGGATTCAGCCCCGTGTGAGGGCAGGCACCTGCCTGCTGAGGGGGGTATCTCCATGCTGCCTGGCTCTGAGGGGGTTGGGGAGTGGTTCTGTGGGCTTCTGACCCCACTCCAGCCAGGTCTGTGTTGTTGGGGGGCTGCTTGGGGCAGCCCAGACCCCACTGGCTCCTCCTGGGCCCTGTCACCTGGGGTGGGCACTGCTGCCTCTGTCCCTGCCCTTCCCCGGGGCCATTTGGACCAGACCCAGGCCTGGCTGGGTTGCTGTAAGTTCAGCTCAAGTGATTTTTCTAGAATCAAATAAGCAGCAGAGATCTGCCTGGCTTGGAGCTGTTGTCACACAACAGGGGTGACATTAACTGTGTGTTAAAGGGAATGTGCAGAACCTGCCCTCCTGCCTTCCTCAGTGGAATTAAGGTGCACAGGTAATCCTTTACCTGGTGTCTGTAATCATTAGTGCTTTGGGCACTCTGTTGGGAAATGAGACCTGAGCACAGAACTGGGCTGCTGGCACCGACCAGAGATGCAGCAGCTTAACCCCATCATTAGACTGTGCTGTGTTGTCTCCAGTATGTGTTGGAAAATAGCTGTTACTAAGCCTCAGGGACAAATTTCAGGGCTGCTTAATCTCCTGGAAGAGGCTGACTCAAAATACAAGATAACAAAAGCCTTGCAGCAAAACATCTGTCTAAAGCTCCGACCCTGAGGTGACTCAGCTCAGGGGAATCTCAGGGCACAGGCACCTCTGTGAGGGCCTGGCACCCAGCCTGGCAGGCTCACCAGCACCCAGGGTGCTGCTCTAGGTGCTTGCCAGCCAGTGTGGGGGCTCTTTTGTCAGCTTTCCGGGTACTGGACAGCCAGCAAGTTAGTGTGGAAGAGGAGCTGTGGGGTCGGTAGGAGGATGAAGCTCCTCGCAAGATGTACTTGGTGGTGGTTGGGGTCACGCTCTCCACTACACCTTATGGCCTGAGCTGGCAGTAACGGGCACAGCATCATCCTGTGCATGGAAGAGTCTGGAAGAGGCTGTTTCTGGCTCCAGGATCTTGGTGCAACCCTTCCTCCTGCTCCATATTTCCCTCAGGAGCAGGCAAATGTTGTGTGTCCCTCCTGAGCTGCTGGGCTCATGTGGTCTTTCTGTCCTCATCCCTTAACCGTGACTTCCTTCTGCAGCACCATGGCGAGGCTCGAGTGGACATCTTTGAGAAGCTGCCTGTTCCCTTCGGGCTCGTCCGTTTTGGGGTGGCCCCAGACCACCCCGAAGTGAAGGTTGGTGCTGGCTTCCTCCCCTTTTCTGTGCGGTTGAGGGCAGTGGTGGTGGTGGGTGCAGGGGAGGCAGTCGCTGTCCTTTATGGTGCCTCAGGGCTCGCTGTGGTGTGGAGCCGTCACACTGCAGAGGTCCAGATCTCCTCCTTGTCCGTGCTGAGACCCAGCAAGGCCGTAGCTGGGCGATATGGGACGAATAGGGCTCTGGGCAGTGGGTCAAAACAGGGGCTTGTGATGGGAAATGCTGCTCCCGGTGCTGGTCAGCCTGGTCTAGAGCAAGACCAAGGAGCACAGAGGGGCTTCTTTGTACCAGGAAACTATGCTGGCAGGATCTTGCCTGCTCGCTGCAGTTGCTGTTTGCCTTTGCTCAGTCTGTGCATCTTCTGGGTGCCTGGGAACGCACAGATCTGCTATTAAGGGTGACGGAGTTGGGCTGTAGATGCACACCTGGGCAAGGAGAAGTTCAGCCAAGGAGCTCTTTGAAATCAACCATTTTCCTTTGCCTTGTAGTGGGTGTGAGTTGTTCTCAGGTTTATCTGCTGTGTCTGACCTGGGGTGGAGGTGGTTGGAGTGGTAGGACACAGGAGATCCAGATGCAGCAATATCTTGTGATGGTTTCCTCTAATCCCTGGACATCATCAGACAAAAATGCCTGTATCCCTTTGAGCTGAGAGAGGAGGAGTGGACATATAACGGGTGTGGGTTTGGGGCAGTGTCCCCAGTACAGGGGTATCCGTCCTATTACCAGGCTGAGTCCAGCTGGAGCTGCAGGGGAAGAGGTGGTTGTTTTGCTGTGTGGCCCAAACAGCTCAGAAAAAAAAAAAAAAAAAAAGGCTTTGGGTACCATCCTGCTCTGTGTCGTCTCTTGATGAAGTGGATTTCAGGAAGGGTTGAGATGAGAGGCTGGCAGGGGGTTCTGGCAGGCAGCACCCTTGATAGAAGGGGTTGTTTGGAGGAACTAAGCCTCACCTTTGGGAAGGAGTTTTCTCCTACAGCAGGGTTTAATCAGAGGGTCCTCCCCAGGTGGGTGCAAAAGATGGATTTTCTTTTCCACAAAGGGTGGTGGAAAGAGTGCCAAGTCACAGCTGTGCTTATCTCTGTGTGAATTATCTGTGGCTGTTGTCAGATAAGAGTCTCAGAATAACTGACTTGGAGAGGGGGAGAAGCTTCTCAAGGCTGGGGGTGACGAGCATGGGCACCTCCTGTCAGCAGCAGGCCTTGGCCCCAACCGTGGCTGGGACGTAACTCCCCGGCGCTTGTTTGATCTCGGCAGAACGTGATCAACGCCTTCACGCAGACGGCACGCTCGGAGCGCTGCGCCTACTACGGGAACGTCAGCGTGGGGAGGGACGTCACGGTGGTGGAGCTGCGGCAGGCTTACCACGCCGTGGTGCTGGTAGGTACCGTGCCTCGGAGCCAGGCCTGCATTAGCTCCCCAGAAGTCATGGGGCAGGTCTGCACCATTATTCCCCACTGGGATCTCGGGAAGAGGGTTTGGGTGAGGCATTTCTGAGTGCCTAATTACCATGGTGAACTCTCCCCAACCTTGGGACAGCTCAGATGCTGCGAGGCTTGTCCGAAGCCTTCCAGGGAGCATGTTCTGGAGCACAGCAGCAAATGCAGGTCCCTGAAACCCTGCTGCAAGGGGCAGTGGTTGAGGAACCTCTTCCCTCTGATGGCCAATACCCGTTTCAGCCCCACATGGATTTGTCCCTCTTGTTCAGTCCTCAGCTTGTCATGCTCCGCCTCAGCCCAAGGAGGTCAAGTTTGGCTCTGAAGCCTGGGGGGATGAGTGGATGAAGCTCCTGTGTTTAGCCCCTCCGTTGAGTATCCCAGCCCTCAGGAAGGGTTGGCAGCTGTGCAGGGTCCCTGGCAGCAGCTGGAAGGGAAGATTTGTGTTTTGGTATCGAACCCTGTGCACGGTGACATCTCTGACTCTGTCTGCTCCGTCCTCAGAGTTATGGTGCTGAAGATAACCGGGTCTTGGGGATCCCAGGGGAGAATCTCTCTGGTGTTTATTCGGCCCGAGCGTTTGTGGGCTGGTACAATGGGCTGCCTGAGAACCGGGATGTGAGTACAGTGATGTGTTTCCCTGCCCTTCCTCCCTGTCCTGCATCTAAACACATGCATTCAGCTCCAGATTAAATCCTGAAAGGCCTGCAATTGGAAAAGATTAGCAGGCACCATGTTAAATCCTTCTTAGATGGTAGAAATGTGAACAATTTGCACATCAGTGAGAGCGGATTAGCTGGCTTCGTAGGCTGGCAGCATATTTTGGCCAGGCCAGATGGGAACCTGGGGGGTGATGCTGCACTTTGGCCTGTGGAGACTTTCTGGCCAAAACAGCTCCTGCTCCCAGAGATGCCCTTGCAGGAGGAGGGTGAGAGGGATCGGCCGGGGTGCCCAGAGTGGCTGGGTTGCTGTCTGTTTGGGGAGGAGGCTGATGTGTAGTTCCCTGTCTGCACCACCTCTTTCTGGGGAAAAGAGGGGTGGAAGGGAA